GGTATATCTCTCTCTCCCTATAACATTTGGATGTCAATAGTTACAGGTATTCAGTTATCTTCATGTCTTTTTTTGTGTTAAAACTGGTTTGGAACAAGTGAAAGATGAGAGTCTTGAATATATCAAGCTGCGTCGATCAATCCATTGTAATGTTTTTCAGCGAATATTAAATGACTGAAAGAGCTGCAGTATATCTAGTATTTCTATAGCCATATTTTATATGTTTTAAAAGTAACTTAAGAGTAAAGTAATTAGTAATCAGATTATTTTTTACAATAAGTAATTAGTAATGTAATCAGTTTACAATTCTCCAGTTGTAGTCAGTCATTTGTAAACTATTAATTTTTAAAGTAACTTACCCAACACTGCCCATCACTGATCTAAGATCACCAGTAATTGCTGGGGTCTCTAGAAGGATGGTAGTGTTGTTCTAGGTGTTTGGGCAATTCTAGGGGGTCAAAGTGACTATATTAAGTAAAACATGTTCCTGTGCGAAAACATAGCACTTATCTCATGCCTGTTCTTAAACCTAACCCTAGTGTAACCCTAATACCAAAGTGTGAATTCAAATTGTGTTGAAACCCCTAATTGCTAGCGTCTTCATGGCTATGTTAGGAAGTTGTTGAAAAGGGGTAGATCCAGATCTTCGAGTGTTAATATATTTTGCTTGATTGTTAGGGTATCCAGGGGGTTTCTAGCATGTTGCTGGGTGGTTTCTAGGAAGCAGGCAGATGGCCGCTATGGTGTATTAGTGATTGCCATAGTGATCGAATTGATTGATGGAGGTTTTGGTTGGGCACTGATGAGGGTTTTGTAAGTAATTTTATTGGAGGGGCAGGTGGTTGCTTACTAGTTTAAGTAAATAGAGGTGCTCTTATTCAGCTTTTTAGACATAGTCCAATTCCCATCCTCACTGCACATCCATGGTGTACCCCCATCTATTCACCCGATGTAATCTAATCACAGAGGGAAGTACAGTGATTTTCAATACTTGGGGTTAAAGGTTTGTAGTAGCAGTAGCAAAACTTGCTTTATTTCCAGTTAAATGTCCTTTCAGCAGTAACCTCAGAAATCCTGCTTTGCACAAAGATAAATGTGTCATTAGAGTGGGGGAAAATGGTCGCATATGTGTCTGTAGACATGATTAAAGTCAATCTGACTTGAATATATATGACAAAGTGACATTTTTATGAGGAAGGCTCATGGCTTAGTGCTTTTAATGCTGAGCTTGCCTTGATGTGAGATACTGATCTAATTATTTCTCTGTGTGAGTGTCTTTGGGTAAGCTTTGACAGGGGGCTGGTGCTGATGCTTAGCCATCTACCTGAGCGAGTAATATCTTTAGTTTTTTTACCTTGTGGTTCCCTCACCACAACCAAGGCTGTCATGGTTGTTTGTTTGGGTCATGACTCCTCCTCAGTTAGGCTTGGGGGAAGCATCTACATCTCAATCTGATCTGTGATAGGAGGCCCCACGTGTGTAAGGGAGAGAGAGAGAGTGTCGGACCAAACCAGTAACCAAATAAGCTGAGCCGAGCAGATCTGGAAGGCAAGAGAGCCAGAATGAGATATAGAGGTTGAGCAAGTGAGGGAGAGAGAGAGAGAGCGAGAGTGTGTGTGAAGCTGGCTGGCAACAGCACACATGCTCAAGGAGAGAAAAGAGGACAGCAATTACTGTATCCAACACCCTACAGCTCTTGCAATAAGGGCTCCGGCTGCTGTCGGCATCATAAACCTGCTATTCTCTCCACCTGGCCTCATCCCACCGACTTATATGGTTGATCCGGGGGAAAATGCTGAAGTTCCGTGCGGACCGGCGAGTGAGGTAGGTAAGGCAGGATGTTGGGAGGGAGTTTATAGCGGCACACAGCAGTGTGAAGGGAAACTCTGAGCTGGAGGTCAGGCAGGACTGCAATGCAGTGCTAGCTTTTTCATGGACCATCTTTATGAGGTACTGAGGATTATTCATCTGATATTCAGTTGCCGGTGCATGTGTTGACACCTCATTTGTGTCTTTCTTGGATTCTGTCACTGCTAAATCGTTTTTTGCTAACGATGCAATCATCGATTACTTGTCATATAAGTGACGTTCGTGAGCTGATGATCATCTTGTGTCTCTATATAGGTTTATAGGTTACGCACAAGCAAGCATGCTCAGTTGCAAGACCACATCGCACAGTGCGCACACGTGCACTCATACACCTCAACCTGATTTTGTTGGCTAGGCTGCTGTGCTAGATTTGTCTAAAGGTTTGTCCTCTGTTGTTATTGGAGCACTATGCTCTGGTGTTTGCACCTTTTTGGTGTCAAGAGGTAGATGCCTTCAGCATGAGTGTAATCCTGGCTTGTGTTTCTTGTCCCCGATCTATCAGGCCGCGTGTGTGTTGTGTTTCTGTGTATATGGAGGCTGCACAGTCTCCGAGTTCTGCTTGTGTTATCCTGAAGTGGTTGATGCCAAGAATTTGGCATGCTTTTCAAGTGTACTTCTATGGTCCACTTAAACAACACTGAAGAAGTGAGTCAGCTGTATGAGGGAAAAAGAGTTTCAAACTCAATAATAGAACAAGGGCCTTAAATCCATTACATTTGCATTAGATCCAATAAACAGACTTTTCATTTAAAATTGTTCAACAAGTGTCATTTTAAGCCACTGGGTGACACATTTCTGTTTGTTTGTTTGTACCTTGTTAATGCATGTTTTCCTATTCCGCTTGGTAAATCTGTAAACTCAGGAGGTAAGCTTATTTACAAGTTTAAAATCATGGGACAAGCAAAGCATGTGATTTGTTCACATGAGGATTTGTCGTTACATAAACTTGCTAGTTCTATTGAAAACATTTATAGCGTTTTCTCTCAGACAATTAAACTAAACAGAGCATGAAAGTTTGTGCATCTGTGCAGTGCATCAATATTTCATGCAGCAAGAATTGTTCAAGATCGGTTGGTTGCTAACACAACATGCTAGCATCATCACAATATATATTTAAATACCTGTATATACATCAAAGAGTAGCTAATAATTGGAGAAAATCATACAAAATGATTTGAGCTTGATCTTTTAAACTTTTTATGCAAAGAAAAATATTTATTTATTTAATTTTATAATTGTTTATAGAGTGTTGACATTCAAAAGAAATAAAATTGTAAATCATTGTTTATTTGTGAAGCTCATACATGAGATTGAAATTTCACTGTTGTCACATAAATTGCATTTTATTTATTATATATATATAAAGTCTCATTCGTTTTATTTTGTCTAAAATAAAAGCAGTTTTTAATTTTTTAAAAACTGTTTAAAGACAAAATGATTAGCTCCTTTATTTTTTTCTGATAGTTTACAGAACAAACCATCTTATACAATAACTTGCCTAGTTAACCCTTACCTGCCTTGTTAACCTAATTAATCTAGTTAGCCTTTAAATGACACTTTAAGCTGTATAGAAGTGTCTTGGAAAATATCTAGTCAAATATCATTTACTGTCATCATGGCAAAGATAAAATAAATCAGTTATTAGAAATGAGTGATTAAAACTATTATGTTTAAAAATGTGATGACAAAATCTCCTCTCCGTTTAACAGAAATTGGGGAAAAAATAAACAAGGGGTCTAATAATTCAGGGGGGCTAATAATTCTGACTTCAACTGTATATACTTTACTCTAATTAAGGAACAATAAAAATACTTCATATATTTGGCTCTGGGTAATTTAAAAAGATTATCCATTTTTTACACTGTAGTTAAAGTGGGGTGGCAATTTTTGCTGAAATAAATACTATTTGTATAATCACAGTTTTACTACAATTACCATGGTTAAATTGCAGTTGGGTTGATGATTGATTTGTGATTATTAAGATTATACCACAACTACCAAGTTTTTTATTTATTTGTCTGTTTATATTGATAGAGCAAGTACAGTAGATAAATTGTTATTCCCACATGAAAAATACTTTAATTTATAGTAAATTGTAGGGTGTTTTTAATAATATTAATAATAATAATAATAATAATAATATATATATATATATATATATATATATATATATATATATACTGATACTAAACTGAGGTTTATTGTAGTATACATGTATAGAAAACTAAAGAATTGGGTAGTTTGTTTATATTAACATTGGTGTTGTGTTATTGTAGTAGCTATCAAATTACCACAACAGATACATTCAAATACCTAAATACGTTTACACACATTGCACTACTTGCTATAATTTACTGCAGTAGTTTTAATATGTTTGTTGTATCTAGTACTTTTATGATCTTTTATCAAAATCTTTTTGACTCAAAACGCTTTCACTTCACTCTTCTGTAGGATGACCTAATGATATCTTACTGCCTGAATTTCCCCCTAAATGCTAGTATTGTTTTGACGTCTCTGCTCTCTGAGTGAAATAGCTCAACCAAACTCAGAGCAAATGTATTCGCTTGCTGCCTCTTCAGCAGTTGTAAAATCAATAGCCAGGAAAGTGACACGCAGCAATGAAAACAACTTGTAGGATTTACACCCGAGAGAGCGAAATACAAGTGGACGTCAGTAGAGAGTTGACTCGAGCCGAGGTCAGAGAAAGTGTGACGATCCCTGAACTCCAGGCTTCAGGCTTTTCATATGTCTTTTATCGAATGTAATAGCATGAATTCTGACGTTGCTCCACCGGAACTGATCTTGTTGATATTTTGACAATGAACGTGAGTATGTTCACACTTTACACAAGCGTCTTTCACAAGTGTTGACAGCCATTAATTTCCACAGCAGTCGTTTCATATGGACCTACAAAGAAAGTGGCTGTGTATTGATTGATCTCGATGTTGTAATGCTGAATTATTAATAAAGAAAGGATGTGGCTGTTGTGAAACAGGTTTGAAGCTGCAAGAATGAGTTGTAGAGCATCTTAAAAAATGAAAAGTCACATCTAGCTGCTTTAGGCTTGATTTTTTGTGTGAAAAATTTGCAGTTTTTACTTATAAATCCTCTTTTTTGTTTTGTCTTTTCAGTCAAAATGACCCTAATGGAACTGTTGGACACCAGCAAGTGATCCAGACACACCTGGAAGAAAACGGACCTTTGAAAGCCTTGCTGTGAGTGGACTTTTGTTTATTTGTTAGTAAATATATGGCTAGCTTTATGCTGCCAAGATCCGTGACCTGTGGAAGAACAGTTTTAATAAGAGACTGAGTTTTATCAACTGCGCCAAGTGTCTTCTTTTAAAGAGACTGCATTTATGGATCCAGTCCAAAAAGATTTATGATGGTTATTGTAGAAACTTAATCATATTCATTTGTTTTTGTTTTATGAATTAATATATTAAATGAGAGAAAAGCATACTTCTATTCAGCAAAGATGTGTAAACGATAAAAAAGATGAAAACGTTTGCTGAAATATATGAGGTTCATTTAAACTTTCTTTGTTAAAAAGGAAATTAATAAAAATCATGGATGCAACAAATATTTTAACTGTGTTCAATACTAACGATGATAATAGTTACAAAAAGTTACTTGACCACTAAATCAGGCATTAAAATAATTTAATGATGGACCATGTGACGCTGAAGACTAGAGTTATCTGGTGCTTGATTAATATAAGCTTACCAATACAGGCTCATTCTAAAAATGGGTCAATCTGTGTTTTGAAAACACTATTGGTTGGGTTCAGGGAAGGAGGAGGGTGGGTCAGTCAGTCAGTCAGTCAGCCAGTCAGTTAGTTAACAGCGGCCTCTGGTGGATTTACTTGAGAACAGCAGGCGTGAATGGCACTCAGGAGAGAAATTTGAGATCTCAAAAAGCGTAAACAGCACCCTCTGATGGATTAGCAAAAACGGCAAACTGCAAACAAACATAGCTCTTGGGATGTATTTGGCACTCTCCAAAAATGTATAAAGTGGTACGTTTTCAGAATGAGCCTGGGTTGAATATTTCATTATATCAAAATTTTAACCATGATTTTGACTAAAATCCTGCAACCGAAATCACACATGCACATCTACATTTATTTATTTATTTATTTATTTGTATTTTTTAAGAATTAGGAAAGATTAAAGCTACACCTGTGATTATTGTGCTATTAAAGTACATAATAATAAAGTTTTGAATCTTATTTTATTTTTTCCTATTCTATTATATTCAAAAGTATAATCTTGTCTTAAATCTTCTTTATACTTCGGTTATTTTGATGAATTATAAAGAAAAAGGACCTCGAAGAAAATTGTAGATCTAATTCTAGCCGATCAGCTATTGGCTAAGTCAACTTTTTGAACAAAAATATGCATTCATTATTATTTTATGTTTGTCTTGTCAAAAATGCACAACATTTCTTGTCTTAACCACTTTTAGGAAGAAATACAAAAGAGTGATTAAAATGACACAGTTTTTAAGCTAAATGGGTGCAGTTTGAGAAAAGTACAGTAGATTTTACTTAATTGTACTGTTGGGAAATTGAACATTTGTATAAATGTTTCTGGTTATTATTGCCATCTTGTAGGCTCAAATGACAATTGTAGACAAATGATCAACTCTCGTTGCTAACACATGACTTTTGGCTCATTGTTGCTGTAGATATCACTGTAAACAGTTACTGTATTATAATAATAATTGTACACTTGCTGAAACAGAAATAAATACAAGCTAACAGCACTGTCAGGATAAAATATGCTTAGAGTGTAATTTTAATTAGGTTTACAAAGCTTCACATAACGGGTATGGGTAAACATGTCAGGACTGCTCCAGTTTCCTCTATAAATTTAATAAAACGTTCCTCCCAGACAAAGACAATATGCTTTCAGTACTTCTAAAGATTTTCCAGATCAATACAGTATTGAGTCAGGAGCCAATAGCCATCAATAAGGGTCAATGTCATTGAAGCTGAGAAGCATCTAGATTTTATTTTATTTTATTTTATTTTATTTTTTAATTTTTTTCATAGCCTTAAACTGCATCATATAACAAGTGGAGGGTAAATGTGTTGGCACTGCCTTAACTTCCTCCATAAATTTACAAAATATTCCTGCTGGACAAAAACTTGCACTTACCTCTAAAGATCCTGCTCTCTACCAGATCAATACAGTATGAAGTCAACAGCCAATAACACATTAATAAGGGCTTATGCATTAGAGCCCAGATCCATCCAGAATTTAATTTTATTAATTTCCTGCAACAACACAGGATGTCGGCTAAATTAAGCCTAGATAATTATCACAGAGATGATTCTGATGTGTTTATTGCATCCTAATGTACTTATCATAACTCTGCTGTGCACTGTACTGTGCACTAATGATTGTGTGTTTTTATGTCATCATGTGATCTGAGAGCTCTGCTTGTTCTTTTTCATACTGTATGTGTTTGTCACATCTTATGTACACTGCATAAAGGTTATTTCATTTTTTTATGTTTTATGTAATTTTAATTATGTATTTTTATATATGTTTTTAATACATTTTTAAAATAAATATTTGATAAACATTTAAATTGCATAATGTTTATTGTATGTTATTTCATATTATGATATTTTATTGTATTTTATAAATATGTTTTTATTTTATTGTTTAAAACAAATAATAGATATTCACATTGCATAGAATTATTATTGTTTATTTATTATTTTTTACTTTGTTTTATTTTTATAAATTTGTTTTTCCTTTTATAGTTTAAACATTTTTACTTTGCATAATGATTATTTTACTTTATTTTATTTTTAAAAATATGTTTTAATACATTTTTAAAATAAATATTTAATAAATATTTAAATTGCATGTTTATTTTATTTTATTTTATTGTATCATAATGTACTTATTGTTACTCTGCTGTGCACTGTACTGTGCACTTATTATTGTGTGTTTTTAAGTCATTATGTAATCTGAGAGCTCTGCTTGCTCTCTTCCATTCTGTATTGTGTGTTTGTCACATTTCATGTACATTGCATAAAGATTATTTTATTTTATTTTATCAATTTGTTTTGTATTTTTTATAAATATGTTTTGTTTTTTTATTTAAAAAATTGTATTTTATTGGTTTGTTTTTATGCCATTGTGTGATCTTATTTAATTATTTTGTGTATTTTATTTTGTATTTTATAAATATTTTATAAATATTTTTATATTAATATTTAGTTTATATTTTTTTGTTTTATAAATGATATAAATATATATTTTTATTTAATTTGTTTTTTATTTTATAAATAAGTATTTTAATAAAAATAAAAATAAAGTATTTAATAAAAATTGTATAATAAAACTTAAATACAACAAAGCTGAAATTAATCCAGGGTTTAATTTAATTTATTTTTTAAAATATTTTATGACTTAATTGTTTCCTAAATTATGCACTAATCACTAATCATGCGCCAATGATCATGTGTGCGTTTTCATGTCCACATCTGATGTGCAGTTCTGCATGCTCTCTTCCATACTTGTTTCCATCACATCCTTGACTTCAGAGACTCATAATAATATGTCTATAAAGTGACTGCGGAGACGGCAGCAAGATTTCCAATACCGAAGCTTCAGCTCGAGGGGATTGTAAATTCATCTTGCCAGACACAGGATCGAAGACTGCTGGACATCCCAGTAAAGAGATCAATACCATTGACCTGCAGCTGCAGTCTTGCATCCACCAGCAGCTCCTTCTCTCTGTCTCTCTCTCTCTCTCTCTCTCTCTTTCTTTCTCTCTCTTTCTTTTCAATCACATTCTTCATGAACATTGGCTTTAAACTGTAACCTCAGGGGTGCGGCCTTCGCCATGCTGCCAGTGGAGGAATAAAAATAACCGACTGCTTCCCATAATCCCTCAGTTTTTCACCAGTTTGAGCTCAGTGTACTGGCTTGTCAATGCTTTGAGATGTTTGTTAGGACGTCTGAAGTGGGATATGGCTCAATGGGGTTGTTTTTGTGCTTGCAGGAGCTCTGATTTGGAAATGAATGGCAAGGCGGGTGGAAGGGGACCTGTAAATAAAGCCAGCGAAGCAAACAGCAACGGCAACAATCTCAGCATGGTTTCTGAAGTACCGCCGGATGGTCAGAACCACACACGGGTCAGTACTGCTGCTGCACTTTATCACTTTATTTACCAGTCTTATAATGTATGCAGTATATGTCTTTATTATGCAGGGAAATATATGAATACATGTAATAATGTATAGTAAAATGGATGTAAACGATAAAAGTGTTGTTGTTATTATTAATATTAAATATAATTAGATTTAAACATTTTAATATATTATATTATATTATATTATATTATATTATATTATATTATATTATATTATATTATATTATATTATAGACATAGTTTTGTTGCAACTTAATACAATCCTGCTTAGTGTTACAGTAAATCATCTCTTTCAGTTTTACATAAAAAATGTTTATTATTATTATTATTTATTATTATTTATTATTATTAATTATAAGTTAATTTCTAAATTACTAGATTAATAAATAGCTTTTCTAAAAGTGTGTTTTTTTCAAATGATATTCATCTTTTATTTCAGCTTTACTACTGTATTTCAATAAACAAAACCAGTTAATTTTAGATTTAATTAAGAATGATCTGTAATGTACATTGGACTTTAGTGATGGTGTTATTATGTAAACACAGGGCACGCGCACACCCAAAAGAGCCGCCACATTTGGGAAACGCTCTAACTCGATGAGACGCAACCCCAACGCGGAGGTGAGCCGGCAGGGCTGGCTATACAAACAGGTACTGCTGCTCCTCATCCACATGCGCACACACACGCACACACACACACACACACACACACACACACACACACACACACACACACACACACACACACACACACACACACACACACACACACACACACAAACACAAACACACAAACACACACACACACACACACACAAACATCTCCACGATCCACATGAAAACATACAGACACACGCTAACATACTTCTCATATCGCCTGAAGACACACACATACAATGCAAACACTGCTTTCATACACCTGCTGTTTTCAGATTATGGGCTTTTTAGCTTTTGATTGTCATAATGTAAAGAAATACTTAGGGTACACTTTGTAGTGTTTCTTTTTTTACACTTCATCAATTTGTGTTAGTAGATTTTGGTTATATTTAATCTTAAAGGCTGATTTCTCAAAATACATTTAGTTTATTTCATGCACAAACCAAATAATCTTCACTTCAACAGAAATCTTTATTTGTAGCAATACACACACACACACACACATACACGTGTGTGTGTGTGTGTGTGTGTGTGTGTTTAACGAGAGGATTTGCTCATTAATGATTTCAGAATCAGATCTTTGTTGGCATTGTAAAAAAAAGAGATTTGTGTTTGTTCTTCATTCAGTGCAAACCTTACTTGTCTAAAATAACATAAATAGTAGCAAGAAGGCATAAGTAAGAAAATATCAGAAATAAAATAAATAAAAGATAAGTAAAATACAATCAGAATATCAACAAATAAATAAATAAATAAATAAATAAATAAATAAATAAATAAAGTGATGATGTTAGAACAGTCATGTGCATAGAAAGCTTCAAGTTTAAAAAGTATTTTGCTTGATTATTTGCCGCTTTTATTCAGCTAAAATATGATGAGCATCCATGTTTTATTTCTGGCTGTTTGTGATATCCCTGAGTTATATGATAAAATAAGATTCTCAAAAATCTTCTCTGTAAAACACTTTCATTTTATTATAACTAATATACCTTTTTTACAAGACTCGTCAACATAATCGTAAATCCTTCACAGTTTTTAATATTTTGAAAAAAAAAAAAAGCGTATGAACATTTATATACTTTTTAAAAAATGTATTATATCATCTTTGCGTCAAAATGCAAAAAAACAAATTACCGCTTATGCAAGCTGTTTCTAATGCAGCTTCAATGGGGCTGAGAGGAAATGTGATGTTATTCTCTCCTCTGGCTGTCGTCATCAGTCAGCAATTTTTTTTCCTTTTTCTGAAAGTGTTGATAACAGCATCATGGAGTTTTTCTTTTATGGTTTCAGCAAATAGGATTGTAAGAAAAATATTTGTTGTATTCTCCAATTCACTGCACTCCTAAGTGTACCCACTATGACGCATTCCTCTACTGAGAAACCCGGAAATGTGAAAAGGGTTTATATGTCAGAAAATACAAATTTAAATCTGACTTTATCCAATGTTTTGAGTTTTGTGCTAGCAATGTGCGCTAATCAGTGCATATTTCAATAAATAATGCCTCACTTGAGCATTAAAACATAACTTTTGAAACAAATAAACGTGTAATACATAGCCTACAGTGTTTAACATTTTTCTAAAATGTCCAGACACTTACAGTTGAAGTCATAATTATTAACCCCCCTTTGAATTTTTTTTTCTATTTGAAATATTTCACAAATTATGTTGAACAGAGCAAAGAAATTTTCACAGTATGTCTGATAATATTTTTTCTTCTGGAGAAAGTCTTATTTGTTTTATTTCAGCTAGAATAAAAGCAGTTTAAAAATTTTTAAAAAACATTTTAAGGACAAAATTATTAGCCTTTTTAAGCTATTTTTTTCCCCGATAGTCTACAGAAAGAACCATCATTATTCAATAATTTCCCTAATTACCCTAACCTCCCTAGTTAACCTAATTAACCTAGGTAAGCTTTTAAATGTCACTTTAAGCTGTATAAAAGTGTCTTGAAAAATATCTAGTCAAATATTATTTACTGTTATCATGGCAAAGATAAAATAAATCAGTTGTTAGAAATGAGTTATTAAAACTATTATGATTAGAAATGTGTTGAAAAAAAATCTTCTGTCCTGTAAACAGAAATTGGGGAAAAGTAAACAGGAGGGCTGATAATTCAGGGGGGCTAATAATTGTGACTTTAACTGTACTTGATGTAGTTTAATGCCTGTTCTTTTATTTTGTGTAATGTAGGCAAGCAGTGGTGTGAAGCAGTGGAACAAGCGCTGGTTTGTGCTGACAGATCGATGTCTTTTCTACTATAAAGGTAAGTTGTGGATCTCAGTGCTAGTTTCTGCATAAGGAAGGCTTTGTGAATTTAGTTGAACATTTTATTGAGTTCAAAAGTTGAGAGTAATTTGAATGTTTTGCCCCAAAACCGGTTTGCTCTATAAAACCTTGTTTGAATTTTCCCTGTGGCATTATTACAGCATACAGCCCGTTTTCTGCCAGTAGAGAAGAAGAAAAGTATAAAAGTAGATCTGTAATGACAGTCTAGCACAAGCACACATACACATCTTAGGAAGTCTTAGGAAGCACTATTATCTTTGTTGCGTTTAAAAAGTATGATGTAGGGTTATTAAGAAAAAAAAATCCATGGGATGGCAATTTAATTTAATTTAATTTAATTTAATTTTATTTTATTTTATTTTATTTTATTTTATTTTATTTTATTTTATTTTATTTTATTTTATTTTACTTTACTGTACTTTACTTTACTTTACTTTACTTTACTGTACTTTACTTTACTTTACTTTACTTTATTTTATTTTATTTTATTAAATTTTATTTTATTTTATTTTTAAGTTATTTTTTTATTTAATTTTAATTTATAGTTGATGTAATTATTATAATTATCATAATTATTACAATAGTTACTGAATGATACCAAAATATCACTGGTACTATGAGATTATGAAATTTTATTTATCCAGATAGCTTTAGTAGATGGCTGCACTTTCAGAAATAAAGGTACAAATTTGTACCTAAAAGGTCCATATAAAAACCTCAAGGGTATATTAGTACCTAAAAAGAACAAAAGTTTTACCCCGAAAATTTGTAGGTACTAACATATACTTTTGAGGTACTAATATGGACCCTTTAAGTACAAATGTGTACCTTTTGAAAAGGTACCACCCCAGTTATAGCTCGCGTACCTTTTTTTCTGAGAGTGTATATGGCTTTGCCTCTAAAGAAAATTTATTTTAAAATGTATTGAACTTTGTATTGCATTAATATTTTAGAACATTACTATGGCCTGGGTGAGCTTGAGAGACTTTCCAAAACATATAAAAGCTGCAGCGTATATGTAAATATGTAAATGCTAATGTATTGAAAACACAGTTGTACTGCCTCTGTAAACAGTAAGGCTTGAACATCAGTAGTTTGCATATATTCAGTGGTGGAAATAGAGAAAACATGTTTGTTTTGTTGTGTTATTTCTCGATGATGTTGTCATGCTGGAGTTTTGCGTAAACCTGAAACATTCAGCTTGCGGTTTCCTTCAAACCGAGGCATATACAAGACATCAGTAATTATGTTTGATTCGCTTTGGGGTAATTACACGTTTTTACATGACATTTCAATTTGCACATGTGTTCAGCTAGTTCCCCATAATGGGAAGAAGTTAATGAAGTGTAACTGCATTCCTAAACAGTGTATAATGATGTAAAAGCGGCACCAAACTTTATCGTTTTATTACTATTATTTTTTTAAAGTTTAATTTAATTGAATTCAGTTTGATTTTAATTAATTTGGTTTGATTTAAGTTATTTACATTCATTTAGATATTTTTTGTTAATTTAATAAAAAAAATTATATTTAGTTTTTATTTTATTTATTTATTTTTTTTTTTTGAAAAGTTATATGTTCATAACTAACCTGATGATATATCATATTTTATTATAAAGTTATTTTTCTGATTGTTTGCAATATTTTTTAATTAAAGTAATGAAAAGAAATTCCCAAAATCCCCACTGTAAAAATCTTGAAATCTATTGTGTAAAAAAGTTAAACAATATACTTTTGGGCTAAAGTTACACATAGTTATTTCATTAAATAATGTCTAATTTGCCTAATTATTATTTTTAAATGTTATTAAGAACTTTTTTGAGTAATCAATCATGTAGGGAAGTATGGTGATAATTGTAAGTAAATGTTTTTACCCTACTCACCTGCAGTGTCTTAAGTGTGAAGGATTAGTAGTGAATTGTTCCCACACTTTCCCAAACACATCAATCAGACTGTCTAAAAGCGGCGTCTGTGATCTGCGTGACAGGAATATATGACTGTCTCCTTTAGACCAGCCGTGAAGGTCAGTCACAGCTCATGCATAGTGAATCAACAATACCCAAAGGCATTGTGGGATACAGGAGGGTGTTAAGATGGTAGGTCTGCAGCTTCACCCAGATGTTCTTTCATGTTATTCTCTAACTAAAGTTTTTGAACATGCACTGGTCACGTATGAAGATTTAACATTTTCATACATTATTATATACAGTGTAGGTTATTTTTTTTACCACAAAAACTGTGATAATGGATATAATGAATAAAGCATGACTTTTAATCAGAATGTTATCTTAGGTCTAAAGTACATCCAGGAGGATATCACCACAGAATAAAGCCCAAAAAGTGTATTTGCATACACAGAAACCTAAAAATTTGAAACAAAACATTGTTCTAAGCCATAATAGTTTACTAATTCTCCAATTAAATGCAAAGCTGAAAGAAAAGAAAACAGCTGATGGAGTATACACTAAATTGCACGTTATTCAGGGACAAGATGGCACCAAACATTCAAAAACATGAAGCTGATGAAAACGAAAACAGCTGATGGAGTATACACTACCTTGCACATTATTCAGTCACAAGATGGTGCCAGACATTCAAAAATGCGAAGCTGATGAAAACAAAAACAGCTGATAAAGTATACATTAACTTATGCATTATTCAATCACAAGATGGTGCTAGACATTCAAAAAAGCAAAATTAATGAAAACGAAAACAGTTGATGAAGAATACACTAACTTGCGCATTATTCAGTAACAAAATGATGCCAAACATTAAAAAATGCGAAGCTGATGAAAACGGATACAGCTGATGGAGTATACACTAACATGCACATTATTCAGTCACGAGATGGTACCAAACATTCAAAAACAGGAAGCTGATGAAAACGAAAACAGCTGATGGAGTATACACTAACATGCGCATTATATAGTCACAAGATGACGCCAAAAATTTAAAAACGCTAAGTTGAGGAAGACGAAAACAGCTGATGGAGTATACACTAACCTGCGCATTATTCAGTCACAAGATGACGCCAAAAATTTAAAAACGCTAAGTTGAGGAAGACGAAAACAGCTGATGGAGTATACACTAACCTGCGCATTATTCAGTCACAAGATGACGCCAAAAATTTAAAAACGCTAAGTTGAGGAAGACGAAAACAGCTGATGGAGTATACACTAACCTGCGCATTATTCAGTCACAAGATGACGCCAAAAATTTAAAAACGCTAAGTTGAGGAAGACGAAAACAGCTGATGGAGTATACACTAACTTGCGCATTATTCAGTCACAAGATGACGCCAAAAATTTAAAAACGCTAAGTTGAGGAAGACGAAAACAGCTGATGGAGTATACATTAACTTATGCATTATTCAATCACAAGATGGTGCTAGACATTCAAAAAAGCAAAATTAATGAAAACGAAAACAGTTGATGAAGAATACACTAACTTGCGCATTATTCAGTCACAAGATGACGCCAAAAATTTAAAAACGCTTAGTTGAGGAAGACGAAAACAGCTGATGGAGTATACACTAACTTGCGCATTATTAAGTCACAAGATGACGCCAAAAATTTAAAAACGCTAAGTTGAGGAAGACGAAAACAGCTGATGGAGTATACACTAACCTGCGCATTATTCAGTCACAAGATGACGCCAAAAATTTAAAAACGCTAAGTTGAGGAAGACGAAAACAGCTGATGGAGTATACACTAACTTGCGCATTATTAAGTCACAAGATGGTGCCAGACATTAAAAAATGCGAAGTTGAGGAAGACGAAAACAGCTTATGGAGTATACACTAACTTGCTCATTATTAAGTCACAAGATGGTGCCAGACATTAAAAAACACAAAGTTGAGGAAAACGAAAACAGCTGATGGAGTATACACTAACTTGCACATTATTCAGTCACAAGATCACACCAAGCATTCAAAAACACGAAGCTGACAGAATCAAAAACAGTTGCAGTATACACTAACTTGTGCATTATTCAATCACAAGATGGTGCCAAACATTGAAAAACGCGAAGCTGACAGAAAACAAAAACAGGGGATGGAGTATACACTAACCTGTGCGTTATTCAGTCACAAGATGGCGCCAAGCATTTAAAAACACAAAGCTGACAGAAATGAAAACAGCTGATGGATTATAGCCTAACGTACACATTACTCAGTCACAAGGTGGCGCCAAACATTGAAAAATGTAATGTTGACAGAAAGAAAAGTTGCTGTATAGAGCATATACTATCCTACGTATTATTAATTCACAAAGACTGTCAAAAATCGCACCGTGACTGACAAGCACATACATATATTGTAATTGTGGATGGAAGTATTTGGATATGAACGTATTCACTGATGATCAAAATGTTTTAAAGCTCCTGGATGAGCCTGTGTTATTGTCAAGTAATAATGTGAAATATGACCCTAATATTACTTTTGAAGAAAAACTCATTCAGAGCTCTCAGTCTCTTAATCCTTGTCCATGTTCTGCTGGTTAAATGTAGCCTCATAAGCAGATGCAGTTTGGACATGTGAGCAGATGCCCTGCAGGTGTAGATGATGCACATCAGATGACTGGACATCCAGCTCGTGTCTTGTCCCCTTCCCTGCAGCCCCTTTATCACCCTCCCGCTATCAGTTTTGTTCAGTAGGTCCTCTACGACTCATTTTAAGCCTTACACACTGAAAGAAAATGACAAGGAAAGATACATTTAACTGAAAAAAAAATAAAATTTATATATATATATATATATATATATATATATATGACTAAGACTTCAGTGTATTGTTTAGATTGATTTTATGTTGCCTGCATCTGCATTTTTGACAGTGCATGTGCCGACACTTGGAAAGAAATGCATTTACATCTGAGTAAATTAACAGCAATTTATCTTTTTTTTTGCTAAATAATTCCTTTAAAACAAGATAATTCCCTTTTATAAACTGAAACAAAAAATTCATAAAAGGTATTTTTT